AAAAAGAGAGAGCAAAGATGTCCTGCATATCTTCTGCATTTCTTCCCTCTTCCCCGCCTCTCACATTCTCTGCTCTTCTCGCCGCGGGCGCAGCCGCGGCGGGTCATCTTGTTCTCATTAAAACTTAAAGGGAGAAAACACAGTGACACATAGCACTGAGAACTTTTGCACGCATGTCTTGGGAGCAACAAAGTGCGATTCTTCAGGTTTTTCGGCTTTGAAAAATGATTCTGCACTTCGTTTGGTATTCTATTATGATCAATGATCATCAAGTAGAGTGTGTGTGATCGGTCTTGAAATCCGGAAAAAAAATGGGCCAAGCGGCCAAATTCTACAGAATATGCTATGTACAAATGACAAAATCAATGTACGTGCAGTTTAAGCGTATGTAAGGGAAATGACTCATTGAAGTGTTGAGGAATGATACACACCTGCTCCACGGGCACCCGTTCTCCCTCCCCCCTCCTCTCTCTCCCTCCTGCGCTGCTCCGCACCATGTGAGGGCATGTAGGCAGAATGGCCGCTATAATTGTTTGTTTGTTTGTTTGTTTGTTTGTTTGTTTTTATTTTTATTTTTAAGTAATATAATATAAGCTCCGGTCTATTTGTGGGGAGCATCACGTGCTGTGATCCGGGCCCAGCGTCCCATTTGAAGTCTGAAAAAAAAACAAAATGCATCAAGAGTCTGTGGACTCTGGATTCTGGACCTATGCCAGCTATATAATTCATTGTTTTGATAGCATTTGCTCAAATAATAGCTAGGAGCTAACTGACCTGGGTTCTGGACAAATGGGCGCCTACCGTAGCTCAGTTGGCACACCCACGAATCGCTGAAATATAGACCTGGGTTGAAAATTGAAATTCAGCTGAATGTCCTTCGGGATATCCGTTAAAATTGGAACGATACAAAGAAGATTAGCATGGCCCCTGCGCAAGGATGACACGCATAAGGGGAAAAAAAAATGAAATTCAGCTGAATGTAGATGAATGAAATCAGATAATGGGATATTGTAATTGTGAATTGCCTGGGGACGCCCAGTTCGGCAATTATACATTTTCAATGATTTTTGTCCTTTTTTTTTTGACTGACAACGGTATGTCAAGGCTGTCCAGCTAGTGAACAGTCGACGTGACTGAAGTCAAATCGTGTCCGGGCTCGCGTCCCGCCTAGCGTGACACTAGGTAGTTAGAGCACTAGATAGAAGTGTGCGAAGAAGCATAGCAATCACGAGACATTTGTCAGTCCTTCACGGCTTCAGCAAACACAGCCAAGACTCACACACACTTAGTCTTGACATCAACGCACGAACGCAGAGTAGAAATAGTAGCCATCACTTAGTAACCTTCGTAATTGTCGGAGAAAAAACAGCCGCTAGTGCAGCCTGCCATGAAGCTCTCGTAAAGACAGTCTACTGGTAAGATGTGCCGTAAAGCTCAGAGACCGTGATGGGAGCTGCGCCGTCCCACTCCTCCCATCCTGGCGTGTGTGCCCAACTACCGGTAGTTTCTGCTGTCGCCCTTTTTTTTTCTTTAGAAAAAAGAGAAAGGTCACTGACCTGGATTCTTTTGAGAGATCCTATCTCCTGCTGGAGCTCTAGAACTCTTCGATCTTTATTCACCAGCTCCTGCTCCAGTTGCTCCACGCGTCCCTCTCTACGAAATAAACGCGCACATTCACCATTTTACACACATCATGAGATTCACAAGTAATTTGTGTGTGTGACAGTGTGTGTGACAGTGTGTGTAACAGTGTGTGTGACAGTGTGTGTGACAGTGTGTGTGCAATACTGTGTATATATTGTCAAACAGAGCTGCCCGGTAAACCGTAGGCAGAGAGGGAGAAGAGGACAACAAACGAGTGTATATATATGTGTGTGTGTGTGTGTGTGTGTGTGTGTGTGTGTGTGTGTGTGTGTGTGTGTGTGTGTGTGTGTGTGTTGTTAAAGTGCCCCAAATTCTCTCTGTCATTATCCTCCACAAATCAAAACATCCATTTATAACAAAAAGGTATAGAATCTATAGATAGCTAATATGATAGAAAATGCAAGGTTGGCCACGTTGGTGTGGTTCAGCGCCGAAGCGGCACACTTGCACTTATACATACATGCATATATTTATTTAGTCCATAAAAGGGTGGAGGGCAAGAAGCAACTTACCTAAAACCGAGGACTTCACCAGCAAGAAAGCTCTGACCCCATACTCCAAAGATCCGAAAAATGCGGAGAGCCCTCAACGTCGGCCCACACAATAAAGATGTGTGTGTGTGTGTGTGTGTGTGTGTGTGTGTGTGTGTGTGTGTGTGTGTGTGATGAGCTGCAAAACCACAGACTTAGAACTCTGCTGTTTTTTCTGAGTTTTGCTGCTGGACTTAGTCACTTGCTGGGTTCTCCATATTCTGCTGAGATTTCTAAGTATGTATGTGTGTGCATGATTGCTGAGTTTCCGTGTGTTTGTCTGAGTGCATGATTGCTTGGGTGTGTGTGTGACCCACCAGGGTGCTTGTGTGCTGCGTAGGCCCTCGGGCCTGGTACTTACCTGTGGCCGTGCTTCGTGGGGTTGCAGCAGGAACTTTGAAGTAGGCTACGCCCGCGTACGCAGCAAAACACTCAAGTAGCGGGTAGGTAGGCAGAAGAAGACAAAAAAGTTAGTACCTTTAGAGGCCGAAGTGAATTTTAGAAGTCCGGTAGGCTTAGAGTCTAGGGGTACGGGTCCAGTAGTCTGACTCTAGGGCCTGCAGAGAGAGATATTAGACTGCAATAATGTTTCCCTCCAAAACAAGGTAGCATTAGCTTGGGAGGCAGCGCGGCCTGGAAAGTCACTGTCCGAAGAGGCACTATGCCGCTATATCTTTAGGAAGATCAAAGAGCTCTTCCTCATTTTGCACTGGGCAAGTTTGGCGACCGTCTGCTGGAGCGAGCGCTCAGCTTGGAGGAGGGCTGGGGAGGAAGAAGGCGGGCTTGGCCCTCCACCTTAGCTATGGTAGAGAGAACAAAGGAGGAGACTCCGGGGAAGGAGTAGGCGGAGGAAGACGGTGAGCAGGGAGGAGAGTGGTGGGGGTGCTTACCTGGCTATGGTAATCTGAGTCTTCATCTTCTTGGTCGGCACTGCACGTGGAAGGCCGCAGTCGGGGTTGGATTCTACAAGGGAGACTTTGGAGTAGAGATAGGCGTGGCAGGCATAGGAGGAAGGGCACGTAAACTTTGCGTTGTCCTTTCAACATCGGAGCTTGGCTCCATTAGTCCGTCATAGCCATCTGCTCGGCCAAGGAGGAAGAAGGTGTATGAGGTGGCTATTGTGGCATACTGCGTAGCCACACGGGCCCTACAGGGCCCGTCCCAGACAGTCAGCCTAAAAGCCTAAAACTTAGGGCTTACAGGCCCCGGAGACATTTCAGCCTGACAACCGAATTCAGGCCCTACAGGCCCTAAAACGGTTGCCAGACTGAAGCCTAAAACTTAGGGCTTACAGGCCCCGGAGACATTTCAGCCTGACAACCGAGTTCAGGCCCTACAGGCCCTAAAACGGTTGCCAGACTGAAGCCTAAAACTTAGGGCTTACAG